ACAAAATTTAAATTAAACAGCCAATGTTACTTAGCAAACGAAAAAATTGCTACTCGCTATTTAACGAAGATTTTTTTTTTGGGATGCATGTCAACATTAGATCAGTTGATCTATTTGCCATCAGTGTCGGATATCTGGATAATTGCTACACTGTTGATTCCAGTTTTTAACTCCAGTGTTAAACTGTAACTCCATTTATTTAACTAACTAGTAGAATGTATTGGTTATTAGATCTATATGTTTGTGCAATCATGGATATGAAACTGTTCACTAACTTGTAAATAAAGTTTATGAAAAAACCCACAATCATTCATATGTGTTACACAGTAACGTTAATAATGCAAGTCTGGATCATAAAATTATGTTGCTGATTCACAAAAAGGAAACCGGATGTGCTTACTAATCGTGTAGTGTAAGAAGCGACCAATAGTTGGCGGAATTTTGTTTTCGGTTTCAGGTAACATCGTAAAGTAAACAATGTTTAAAACATTACTCTAGATGTGTAATCTAGTCTAGAACTCTAGATAGATTTAGATCTAGATTAGAGGCCTCCTAGAAGACTAGACTAGAGCAGAGTCTAGTCTATAAATCTAGTCTCGAGAGATTAGTAAACGTCCAACGACGACGAGTCGGACGACTCTCGTCGACTGCAACCAAAAATAAATAATAAATAATTAGAGGCCCTAGATCTAGTAAATTAGGCTAAAAATATTAAAATTGGTTAACTGACTGAAAGCTTTTACTTTATTTGAGGCTGTGATTGTGAAATTAACTAAGTAATCTAGATCTAGTAATAACTCAGTGGCGTAGCGAGGTCGGGTGTCACCTGGTGTGCGGCACTTAATGGTGTCACCCCCCCAGAGGTGTAGCACCCTCCTCGGTCCTCCCCCCTCAAACTTTCGATTTGCACCCTTCCCCCATCCACCCTTGTGGGGATTTGTCAAATTTGCTCTTAACCCTTAAAGCGCTCAGCTGGTATTCAGGAAGTGCATTAAAAAATGGGATCAAAATGGCAATGTTTACAAATTTTGATACCCCCTTGTAATATTACCATTTTAAAGTGTGATCTATACATTATAGACCTATGAACCCATACATTAATGGAAAGCTTAAATAATAAAGAATATGAAAACACATTAACTATTAACAGAAAAACACAATAGTAAAAATTTAAGAAAAATGAAATACAAACCATTTTTTTACCTTCGTAAATAATTTTAATTCCTTGAATAAAGTACACATAAATTTTCAAAAACAAACACCACAATCTAAAAAACAAAGTACCAAAACCAGCACATTTATATCCTTGATAAGAAATCACACACTAGTAGTAAATATAGGGTCCTATGGTATTTGGCAAAGCATTCCGGACACAGTCCAACATTGCAACCAGAACACTCCCACCCACTTCTGACTCTTGCAGAATGACCTGCAACACACTGTCTTTTTTTGCACACTTGTAGTTTCACTAAATCATGGCCATCTAGTGGATAACTGTAAGCAGAAGGCACTGGGGACTCAACACCATTTCTGGTGGTTGATATTTCCTCCCTTGTCCGTTTGCGACGAACAATTTTTTCTGGTGTGAATTTAGAGGACAGGCTCTCCAAAACAGAAATGATAAAATTGCACCTAAAAAGCACAGGCTTGTCTGAAGTGTTCAGCTTGTATAAGATATAGCTGTTTAGCACAGCTCTACCTAACAAAGAGAAGAATACTTTATTTGTCTATTTGAGGGTTTGACGTTAAGCCAGGTACATACAGTTTTTTTTTAATGTGCAGGGAACCATGGTGTTTCTTGGCTATGGTGGCAGGAGTCCCAATAAGCATTGGAATTGGGCTTTTGATTTAAGCCCATGTTCAGGACCACAGCATGAAAGGCCCTAAATTCAGCTAGGGTGAGTGGAGTCCATTTGTGGACTCTTGATCAGGGAATGATGTCATAACTTCTCTTTGTTGCTCTCGATGAACTCGCTAGCGTAGCAGTTGGTCTCAGCTATGATAACATTGGTAAGCTCTGATGATAAAAACAGATCCAAGTATTCAACAGGCTTAGCATTAGCAGCTGGTTTATGCTTGGGTCCTGGATTTGCTGTAAACTGGATAGGTCTAGGGCCACAATCCTCTCCAACAATAGGCTGCCAATGTCCATCAGCTGTAAGAGATTCCCTGTCCTCTGAATCTGAAAAATAGTTTAAATTTATAATTAGAGCCTATTATTTTATTTTTTAATAATTATATTGACTTCATTTACATTTGTTTACCTAAATGATATATTTAATATAGAGATCTAGATATTCATTCATAAATTTTGAAACAGTATCTACCTAAAGAGGTGGGCGTGGCACTTCAAGCACCCACACCCTTACAGTAAAAATAAAATAATGTAATAATTTTCCCGACACTAGATCTACTTTCACTTTATTTTTAAAATTCATCACCAAGCTGAAGAGAAAGTATTTGTATTTATTAAATTCGAACACTTACCATACAAATCATCTAAAACGCTGCTATCAAAGTCATCATCAGTCTCAATTATGTTCTTGAGTCACCTTCACTGTCTCTTGAGTCGCTGTCCAATTTTATTTGTAACAAATTTAGCTTTCACAGTACAAACACTAAACCACGATGTTTGAAATCGGAAATGGCGGAAGTATTCGTGTATTTACGGTTACTGGTCTAATTGCCGAGTATTTACGAAAAATACGGCCGCAAACACACGAAACCACGATCGTGGCCTTACGCGTTATACGTTCTGTTATAGCAAAGCCACGATCGTGGCCATGCGCGCTTTAAGGGTTAAAAGACTTTTTAACACTCGAATTAATCACTTAATTAAGTGGAAGTATCATTTTTCTCAATATATTTTGCTATTTTTTGCCTAGGTGAAGGTGTCACCCCCCTAAATAAATGGCCTAAATGGTGTCACCCGGTGTGGTACTCACCCCCGCCCCCCTTGCTATGCCACTGTAATAACTAAAACACAAATGATAAAAAAGCTAAAGGCAAAAAGGGCAGGGTTCGTGCGGCCTCCTGAAATTCCAGGAGGTCCTGGAAAACTCCTGGAATCTTAAAAAACGTAAAAATCTCCTGGAATTCTCCTGGAATTTGAAAAAATATAAAAACCTCCTGGAATTCTCCTTAAATTTTAAAAATTCTCATGAAATCTCATGAAATTTTATTAACCCGCGGCGCAAAACCCGACCGAAATTATTTGATTTTGTTCCGCAAATAATTGAATATTAGTTTTTAAATGGGACGAAAATAAAAATAAACGCATCGGCCGTCGTCCGACTGAATCGCACTGCCGTGATCTACACATCGTGTGGCACAGCGGAGTGTGTGGTCACGTGACGCTAGGCGATTGACCCGATTGGATGATACTATAAACAATTTCTAAAGATAGATAGGCCAACATGTGTTCCCGTGTTTGACTTGTCGGCTATTGGATTTTTAAAGTAGACAGGAGGCGTGTTTCATAACTTTGTCTTAAACTGTTGAAACAGCAAAAAAAAGTTGTAGTAGTATTTACGGCTCAGGACTAATCGTCAAAATTAATCTTCTTAGAAAACCCGGATAGCTGCGACCCGATCAAACAATGCTGATTCGCGTAACGTTTCATTATTTTATACATTAATTTTTCGTAAAAAAGGCTATGGGAAAAAAATTAAATTTTTCCAGTGGCTCTTTTTTCGATTGACTAAAAATTGTTAATACTAATACGCGTAATACTAGCTTGCCAAATCGACCAAAATGGGCTGGGGTGGGTGGGGGAAGACACTGACCATCCTACACGGTAACACCCAACGTAACATCCATAGCTCAACCCGCCCCCACTACTCCGTGCCGCGACAAGCCGACGATTGTCGCCTTTGATGATGTGTAACACCCGTACGGTGGTTTCATACCCCACCTCCCTTCCCCCTTCACTTTGTGGAGTTGATGTTACTAATCCTTGGGCATAGATCAAGAAATCTTGCCAGACTTTTGTCTCTGAAATTACATAATATTCGTCTGACACGTTCATCGGGTTGGCCGACTAGCCTAGCATCATTGGATTTGACATCCAAAAATCAATAAAATATCACGAAATGATATTAATTGGTGAAGTCTGCTTGCATTTATACCTCTTTTATAGTGAAAAACTCTTTAAAATTTGGTCCATACCCTCCCAGTATTTTTCCTCTTTCAGGGTCTATCCCGATGACAAAAAAAATCATAACTTTTTTGTTTATGGTCAGATTTTGAAAATTCAAACTGGTCTGTAGTCAGATTGATAGTCTCTATCCTAATATGTAACTAATATATTGTTTTACTTTTACTGAACTTAAATGTTTGCATTGGCTTAGCTAATTAAATGTATTATTAAGTACGCTTTTTTTTAAATGTACAAATTGGGTTTCTTTTTTGTTTTTAAAATCTCCTTGTATTTTTTTTTAAACTCCTGGAAAAGTCCTGGAATTTTATTTGAACTTTTGAGCATGAACCCTGAAAGGGGACCCTGTTAGTATTCTGTCAGAGCAGCCCACAGTACAAAACATAGGCCTAATCCTAATAAAATTAAAATAAGCTTAATCTTGAGTACACGAGGGGTAGAGGCTTAGTAATTAGTTAGTACTAGATTCCAGTACAGAGAATCATGGCTCTGAATAGAGATGTAACCTTTATATCTGAGAAAAAATTTCGGACGATATTTCGAATCGTCCCTTTGAATCCTGGTCAAAACATCTACAATCTACATTTACTAATCAGAGTGTTAACGATGTCAAACCTTTAATTACATATATTATATAGATCTATTAGTGATTGGAAAAGTTTAGGATTATTCTAGACAAGTGAAAAAGAATAATCATTTTTTGTGGAAGGGTAGAAAATATGTGTCCCAATTCTCTCCACTTTCCCTTACTACTATTAAAAATCTGTTTAGGTATTATTTTATGTAGCCTAACTATTTTACAATAGTACCGTAAAATATACCTTTTTTTCCTATTAGATTTTTTTTTTATTTGATGTTCACATCCTGCCCTTCAATTTGTCTGGGATTGACAAGCAATGCCTAGAATTGATTAGCTGAAACATGGAAGGAACCAAACTTAGCCTAGAAGAATGCTCCTGTCCCATCTGTATGTCCGTGTTCATCGAACCTGTCACCATGCCCTGCAAACACTCCCTGTGTATGCCGTGCTACAGGCAGACTGTGGAAAAGGCAAATCTTACTTGCCCTGTGTGCAGGCTGCGCATATCAGTTTGGGCCAGGAAAGCTACCAAGGCTAACTCACTGATTGACAGGAAGAAATGGGATGCTGTGAGGAGGGCGTTTCCTGAAAGGGTACAGAGAAGAATAGATGGGAAAGAGAATGATGATGAAGAAGATTCTGTGTTGGAAACTTTTGAAGCGCGTATGTATAGATAATTTAAAATTTATATAAGATGTGAAAAGCTAACTTTTGAAAAATGTAAAAATGTAGACATAAAACTTTTGAAAGGAAAATTATATTTTATTTAAAGTAACTTATTACCTTTTATCCTCCTTGATATAATTTTCAAAATATGCAATAATTTTTAACAGAGCTGCGCAAGCTGAAAGAGTTGTCTAAACCAGGTGAAATCAGGGAAGAATATGAAGCAGAGCTAAGAAAGGTTAGGTTCTCTAAACATCAAAATGTTATGTATTGTTTCAGTATATCATTGATCTGCCACCAACCATTAGTTAAAAATAACTTTTAGTATAGTATTAAACAAATTATGGGATGGTGTTGTTGAGGGGTAGAACACTCGACTGCTAATCTGTGTAGTGTAAGTCTTGAGTTCAGTTCTCAGTCACTGAGTCCACCTAGTTACCTGACTAACGTTAGGGAAAGTAAAGGTGGCTGGAGATAGTGTTGACCACACCATCCCTCCTTATGCAGAGGTCAAGAAATAAGTGAACTCTACTTCATCTCCCTGAGAATATTTAGGTCTAAAAGGGGAACTTACTTTACTTTAGCAAATGAGCTAGTGCAGCATGAGCAAGTGCTTATTGCCAACAAGCTAGTTTCAGTTAGAAACCTTTAATATGAAGTGGATTTAGGATATCAATTTTGAGATTTTGTTATTTAGAATTACATATATGCGCACACATTAGTGGTGTAAATTTTTTAAAATCTTTAATTTATTTTAATAGTCCCTTAAGAAAATTCTAACTAATAATGCGTAGTATGAAGATGCTAAAATAAAGACTAAATTGTAAATTTGATAACTCTCTGAATCACATTTTGGATTGTTTACAGTAAGATCATCATTACTCTGGTATACTACAGTTTTCATCATTAGTAATGCTTTAGAGCTGACTATATAAACTCCTAGTGTGTCTAGTAGTACAATGCTGTAGTGATGCTTATATTTGCAATGAATTCTGTCTTCAGCTACAACAACAAAGAGATGAGGAGGCCAAAAAGGAAGAGGAAGCCAGTGCAGCTCTGATACGGGCTCTGCAACAACAAGAGGAGAAAGAATTAGAGGAGCTGAATAGACAGAGGGAAGAAATGGAGAGAATTGACAGAGAGACAGCCAAGCAAGTATTTCAAGTAAGTCAAGTTTTTTTTATAGCTAGCATGCAATTCTTAAGTTTAGTTTTTTGCTATTTGGGTTGAAAAGCATAATTTTTGTTTCTTTTAAAAATGCTGTTTTAATATTGTTTCACATCTGAAATCGTTTTACAAGGTTGACAATGTGATTCAGAAAATGCAACATGACATTATAACCTGCATTGTGGCACTTTAAAAAAGTAAAGTTCCCTTTTCAAACCTGACAGTCTATAGGGCAAGTGAAGTAGAGTTCACTTGTTTCTGTGACCTTGGCATATGAAGAGATAGTGTAGTCAACACTATGCCCAGCCGCCTTTATTTTCCCTAATATGAGTTAGGTACCCATCAGAGTTGGGTGGATTCAGGGGCGGTCTACTGACTTGAACCCGGATTCGAACTCGAGACTTACAGGTTAGCAGTCCAGCTCTCTACCACTAGACTACTCCGTCCCTGTGACACTTTACTTTCTCAATATTTTCTACATAAATTTTTTGAAAATCCAATTTGAAAATTTTATGAGTTGTCACCTCACCCTTTGTTTTGTCCTTATGGTTTCAGGAAGTAGCCGTTGACCATAGAGAAATACAAAGTCCCACAGCCACCAAGCAGAAGCAGGTGACTCGCGGCACCAAGAAAGGCAAAGTCTCCCAACCCAGCCAACACTCCAGCAACCACCTGACACTGAACACCTTCTTCTCACCCAAACCCCGCCACGCCGTCAGTGCCCCCGCCGCGGCGGACATGCAGCATCAACCCTGCAGTAGCTCCAATACTTCATGGAGGGGGTTCGCACCCTGCTCCCCTATTCGCTCCTCCAGTCAAGTCAGTAACGACGACACAATCTCTAGTGAATATACAGACGCGTTTCTCCCTGGATCTTCAAGACTTTTCCAGCCCATAGCCGGGTGTGAAAGGACGCCCCCTAAACAATTACCTGATGGACGGTTTCTTGATCCAGTTGTTGTGAGCTCAACTCCTAAAGCTCTCTTTCCTTTATCTCCCAAAGGTTCTCCTGGCTGTAGTCTAAATCAGTTATGTAACACAAATAGTCCGCACAACAGCCAAGCCAGTTCTGAAAATTCCTCACCTCCAGTTTTGTGTGACTCAAGTTCCTCATCCACTGTCTCATCCGTCGTCAATTTTTTTGGTAAATATTTCAGAAAGGTGAGGAAAGAGGATGGCGTGGAGGTGTTAGACAGCTCAGCAGCTGTGGAAGATCTGTCTGGAACATGCAGTAAAGCTGGTAGCACTAGAGACCAGGTGCATGTGGAACCGCATGCACCTGCTGGCGTTAAAGATAATCCACCTACTGGTATTAAAGATAATCCACCTACTGGCGTTAAAGATAATCCACCTGCTGGTATTAAAGATAATCCACCTGCTGCACTGAGCAGAGCTCATGGATCTAAAGCACCAACACCTACTTCCATGTGTACAGCTAATAGAGCTAAAGATAGCAAGCCAGCAGTACTTGGTGCATCTGATGCAATTGTTGACAGTTTGAATAACGATAACCCCACAGAACAACAAGCCATCAACCGTTTGAGCACTGATATTAATCTTGGCCCCTCTCATAAATCCCCAGTGACAAGTGATAAAGATGACATTATTTCCGTAAGTGACATCAGCGATGATGACACAGTTATTTATTCTGATTTCGAAGGAGAAACAAGCACACCAAAGCACAGAGATTCTCCTAGTTCAGTGTGCTCCAACATGGAGTCGTATCACAATGATGAAACTAAAATATTGTCTCAAAGAAAACCAATGACTGAAGGAAATAACAAAGGGCGCTGTGATGATGTAGAATGTTTTTTCGATGGATATGACTCTGATCATTTAATTTCTAAAAAGAAGGGAAAACCTTTGCAATGTGAGTTATTCCCATCAGTTCGTCTTTCACGTTTATCTAACAACAATGTATCAAGTTGCAACAGCAAGCGTACTGCTGCCCATATAAAGGGTAAACGTAAGTCAAAATGTAATAATAACAATAATACGTTGGATGGATATGTAATGAAAAACATTACACAATCTTCACTTCAGGAGTGTAGCAGCACCCAAGAAGAAAAGTCAGTGAGTTGTGATAGGTTAAGTGACGCTAGTGTCAGTTGTGATAAGTCAAACAGCAGTTTTGGTGAGGCAGATTTGGATGTAAGTGATGATGTGAGGCGCACCATGAGCCAGGAGGAGATAGACCACATGCTTGCTGTGAAGCTGCAACAGATGTATTCACGCCTTGATAAGAAGGGAATCAGGGTTGATCGTTTCCAAGGCTCTGGAGGGGAATATTCGTTCAGACCAAAGCGACAACGCAGAACTTGATAGTTGAGGTATTCAGTTATTTGAACAAGGCTAAACTTAATATTCTAGGATAGTTGGGTTTTTTTTTTTAAATTGTATTAATTTCATCTGGTCGAGTAGAGAAATATTTTACACTTGTTGTTTCCACTCACATGGATAACAACACTCTTTCTGTAAGGCACATTAAAAGCTCAAATAGATTTTTTAAGACCCTTTCAGCTACAGTTAAATGTGTATGTCACCACGTCAGAGGACACTGATGAACCCCTAAGCATTTTTCACAATGTTAACTGCGGCTGTTTTTCCTCTTTTCCTACTGTGACTTATACTTATAAAATATGAAAAGAATCAATAACATGTCAAAATAAAAGAATTATTAGTTGTAGTAAGGGATGAATGTGTTTTTCTTATGCATTAAATCTGATTACACTACAATTTTTAAACTGCTGTAGATTTTAAGAAAGGCAATGGTTATCTGATTAGTGCTTTTAAAAAGAACTTTTTAAACTGAATATAACCATCATTATTTTTGTTGAAAAACTAAAACTGTATTTAAGATCATTTGTACTGAAATTTACTGAAGAAAATCAGTATTTTGTGTCATACTTCAGGCTCATATTTTGGTGATTTAAAGTTATTTTTCTTTGAGTTGCAGCAAAGGAATAGGAACATCTTTTAAAAAGTTTTAGGTATTGCTAATTGTATTTCAAAGTATTCTGGTTTTTCTTTCTCCTTCCCCCCCCCCACCCAATTATTTTTCCTCAATTTTTTGTGAAGCACCATGTACTTAGGAATTATACTTATCCTGACTAGCCTAGATATTTGTTTTACACAAACAATATTTATACATTTTCTCAGCTTATACCAAACAAAACCACTCATTATATATTTACCGGTACCTTATATTCAATAAACAACATGATAAATTTAATGAAATACAAAACAAAATTCACTTGGAAAATTTGACAAACATTTTATGTGGTACCAATAAAATGGCCTATCTTATTTAATATTGGGTCAATGTATGTTTTTATATTTCATCAGTCATGCAAGTGATAAATAATTAAAATCTAGTGTGATGTTATATATCTTAATAACTTATCTGTCTTGTTGAAATCAATTGTTCTGCATATGCAATTTTTTAAAACTAAAAGTCTTGTTCTGTTAAACTAAGAGCTAATTATGGCCCCTTAATTTGTAGACTTTTTTTACAATAATATATTTCATCCTTGATTCCTGATGTACATTATATTGTTATCTAAAACCATGAGTTTTTTAGATATCATTTAAATCCTCATTTCAATATGATTTGCATTTTATTTGTTTTTTTATGGGCCAACATTGTCGTTAATAAGACAATGTACTCGGCCACCCACTTATTACTAAATTAAACTGATTTTTATTTTAATATCAAGCCTGGCCAGTATCTCTTGGTTTGATAAATCATTTTATTTTTGTACTTATTCCTTTTGTTAGATCCTAGGTCACTGTCTAAAAATGGAATGACTTACTAGTTGATTTCTGAATTTTAAATTTTTCAAAAAATACTTTATAAAATGTATACAATTTAACAAGTCTTATACTTACTTATCTATAGTTTGCTTAAAAGGATGTTAATTTGTATCTTCACTGTACTGTTTTATGATCTAGTCGATAATACAGTTGAATGAAGACTTGGTTCTAACATGTAACATGACATCTTGCAAAGTTACTTGACATATGACATCACCACTTTCAGAGACTAAAGGGTTAAACCTAACATTTTTTGTTACCTGAATGTTTGAGAACTTGACTAAGGAAAAATATGGCTACAGGTTTTTTTATACAATAAAGTAACAATATTTAACAAAATAAAAGTGTTTTTTAAACTTTACTTTTAGAAGATATTATTTATTGATTCATTTACATTCACATCATAAATATTCAATAGTCAATTATATTTTGTACATAGACATTTATCAAATGGACACTAAACACAATCTACATGGCACAGTTTTTCTGTCTGTTCAAATAATGTCTTGAATAGCAATATGTTTATATATTTAACTATAACAAGCAAAAGAGTTACTAGGTAACAAATACAAATATATTTAACTATTTACCTCATAAGAGCTCTTTGTTTTCCAAAAAAAAAAAAAGAAGCCAAAATTAGTAAAATTTAAAAAATTACAAGTTCTTGGAACTTTTTGTTTGTCTTTGCCATCATTGTTGACATGGATACAATTACTATGCAATCCTTACATTGATTTTTGTTATCTTGTTTCTTTTTGCATTCAAATTTGAGCTGGCTTTTGCTGCTTGAAGTGTTATTTCGAATTCTGGTTATATTTTTTTGTAAATATTAAAAAATTAAAAGCAGATCATCAATGCACATTTTATGTTTGTTGTATTTGTTTCTTAAACAAAAAATTGGTACTTTCCTTTTACTTTTAGCTTAATCAATTTAAATTATAGTAATATTTGATTTGCTATACCTAGCATTTATTTAATCATGTGAAAAGCACAAATGTAAAAATGTAAACAAAAATAATGTGTTGTATTGTCTATGCAGTTATTTGATTTATCACATGTTCTATATAATAGTGTTATACATGCCGTTGAAAGTGGACTTTACGAAAGGGGGGGTGGGGGCTTATTTTGCCGACTTCCAAGGGAGCACAATCAGCACCGGTTTTTTTTTTTAAATTAAGAATATCTGGCCATGACAGACTAAAGAAGTGTAGTGATGAGTCATTGCTGTTCAATCGTTTAGTTGTATTATCGACACGCAGGCTTAGAGCGGACGTCTAGTTACACGTACATCACGCGGCCAAAGGTGTCTCCGTGTTTCCTAGAGTTTTATTTTACATGTAAATCTGTAACATCGAACTAAAAACCAAAAGATAACCGATAAGGAAAATGCTTTTGTGGAACTTTCTTTTAATCAGTGTACCAAACCATTACAAAAGGTGGAATGCATTATGCATTATGGCTTTAAAAACCATCCACTAGATGAACCCAAAGAAGGCACGATGGTCATCAACATCAAGATATCGATCTCATTCTTACTGGAAGCTTGGGATTCTAAACCACGAAAATGTCTTAGCAGCTAAGAAAATTAGCTGTTAAACAAGCCCGAGAGCCTAGATATTAAGCGTCCATCTTCAGGAGCCAGATACCACGATGTTGCAGCCACAAATGAATCATCAACATCGACAGGGAGTGAACTCCACATCGGTGTTGACAAGCTCACGAGGCCCTTTAGTTCATAGATGGCACGGAGGAGACTGTATGGATCTAGTATTTAAGCGGACGTACAAGAAAGCATCATCGGTCAACTGATAAAGCGTATGTTGCAACCTATATTTATCTAGAAAATAATATAGACCGTACATTTGTTTGGCGCGACCTTATGTCCTTCCTTCCGTCATCGGTATAGCCACTTTGTCTTCGCTTTTAGTGTTGGTGAATGTGGTTTGGGGTCATCCATAAATGACGATTTTTTACCTCCCCCCCCCCCCCCTCCGTCACGCGTCGTCACAGAAAGCCAGACCCCCCCCCCCTAAAATGACGTCACACCTCAGCTACAACCCCCTCCCCCCCTCAAAATTGCAGTTGAAATTTTTTTAAACATCGATATTTTTCCAAAATCTTGTATGAACTCTGTCAAAATAGAGTATTTTAATCAATTCCTATTACAATTTGTTAAAACAACTTTCTAAAACGCAAAATAACTTCTAAAATTCGTTTTCTAACATTGCTTTTTGATAATACAAGTGTGACTTCTGAACCCCCCCCCCCCCTCCTCCCCCTCATCACACACCGTCACAAAACTGTTACTGTGATTTGTTGTTTTATAAAACTTGTCGGCCTTTTGTCTTGTCGGCCTTTTGTCTTGTCGGCCTTTTGTCTTGTCGGCCTTTTATGGCTGTCGGCCTTTTGTCCATGTCGGCCTTTTGTCCGGATCCCGGCCCAGATGGATCGATATTGGAACTTGTCTTGTAGACAGAGGAAAGAGAAAGCAGACAAACATCTGAGCTAAAGATTGTATCTTTAAAAAAAAACGTTGTACCAAACATTTGCAAAATGATGAATATTTAAATTTTATGTCTTTGAAGAGCCAACCACTGTGTTACCAGATGTCAGCTGCTAACAAGAAACTTGTGTGAGTCTAAATCACTGGAATGTTTTAACTGTTAAGAAAATTAACTGCAAAACTACAGCTAAAATGAGATTTTTATTTTTTTTCCAACCCAATTTGGCGCCCCTAGGGTCGGCGCCCGGGGACATATGTACCCCCCCCCCCCCCCGTCGCTACGCCTCTGTGATTAAGATTATAATGTTAGGTGTTGTATCATCCCTTATATTAATGGTGCACCGTTGGGTTGGTTCTGTATGGGGGGGGGGGGGGATTGTTAACTCACAATTTATTTAGTCTTAGATTCATGAGTTAAATTGTTTCTAAGCCCAGGAAGGAATATTTTGTAACCCTAATTACAGTGTAAATCACAGTACTGCCTGGATTTTATCCCTGTTTTTTTATGGGGCAATATTTCTGTCAGCAGTGTTTCTTCCAGACTTTTTTCTCGGGGGGGGGGGGGGGCGAACAACATTTTCCGGGGGGGGGGGGGCGGACACTGTTAAAAGTATATGTTTTCTATATACATTCAATTTCCTTTCGAAGAGATGCCTGGAAGAAACTCTGTCAGTAAGCATAAGACACCAATATCGCTACTCCTTAACAACAAAAACTGACTCCTAGTTTTATTGACTGATAAATCAAAAGCTATGTCATAGAATTCTTAGTTCTTGATCTACATATGAGCGAAACTAAAGCTACTTGTTTGTGTTGAATAGTGTTTTTTTTTTTTTTTTTTTACAATTGGGCCATACACATTAACAAAGCACACACTATGAATGTAGGCCCCTATACACATTTTATAACTTTTATATTGTCTTTTCTAAAGATTGCCAGAGAGGCCTTTATCACAGTGTATTAAACCAGTTTACACTGTATGTCATTAAGGTCAGTTTTATTAATGAATGAAGAATTGTGAACTTAGAGCTCACCCAATATTGTCTGTAATCTGATCAGTGTTTCTTCCAGACTTTTTTCTCGGGGGGGGGGGGTCACTTGAAATCTTCGGGGGGGGGCGGTAAACTTTCTTCGGGGGCGGACACTGTTAAAAGTATATATTTTCTATATAAATTATATAAATTTCATTTCGTTCGGGGGGCGGTAAAAAATGTTCGGGGGGGCTTCGCCCTCCCGAAGAGATGCCTGGAAGTGGAAGAAACTCTGAATCTGATTTCAGTGGCTTGACCACTACCAGAGACAAAAGGGTTAACTTTAGTCTGTCATTACTGCTACCTATAAGCCTTAAAGGGTTAAGCGCTTGTTTGTTGGATAGTATTTCAACAATGTTTCTAGTTGTTAAAACAATAAAAGCAACACGTTCTAGCAATAAAAAAGTTGTTTACTTTCAGATAGATAAGATTACATTTATAACAGGATTTTGAAAAGCAATGACAAATATTAAATAAACAGTGATAAAATATTTCTTGTATAATGAGAAATGGTTTAGCTAGATGCACATGATACATCAGTATGGCACAGTTCTCTAAATTAAGTCTTGAATAATATGTTTACATATTAATATAGGCCTATAGCATACACATTTATTTTTACCTAAGTGGAGACTCACTCCACCAACAGAAGAGTTAATGTTGGATTATTTGGCAATGTTTACAACAATTACAAGTAGCCTATGTTTCATTATTTAGCTTCAAAGAGCTGAAAAAAGTTTCCATGTTTATTGTTTTAGTACTTGAATTTGTAAATAATTTTAAAATTACAAGTTCATTTAGGCTAATTTTTTTATAACATTAACAAGGCATTCAATGTTACACTACATATTAGATTTTATTTTGTTACTGGGTTAATAGTTTTGTTGCGATTTAATAAATAAAATCTGGTTAAATTGTAAGTTACAATTTGTAACATGATATTTTTGCTAAAACGAAAAAAAAAATGTTTATAAATGCATTTTTCTAGTTAAAACTTGATATCAGTATTTGTATTGGTTTTATTTCTGGTTTAATTTATTTTATAATTTCAAACTAATTCTGACATAAAACTTATGAGTAGCCTATTTTACTTCAAACTGAAAAAAATTAAAATGAAGCCCAGTAACAATGCAAACACCTTAGGGATACTTAAGAGGGTACTGTAATCAAAGTTTAATGCATGATTAAAACAAATTTAAATCAAGTATTTTTCTCTTAGCAAAACTCAGAAAATGTGCAACAAAAATTGAACAAAAAAGTTTATATTAAAAATAATTTTATCTGCTTTATCAAGCACATTAGGAGAAAAAGATTAGATAACAAAATGATAAAATAAGATTTTGGCACTGTCTATACAATTATCACATGTTCTATATAATACTGTGTGCAAAACAAGGATTGGAACCTAAAATAAACAACACAATAATAGCTTAATAATATATTAATCATATATAAAATAATAATCATGCAAGCATTACATGAAATAAATAACATTAAAACTTATTTAAACATGTAAGCCTAGTTTTATAATACAGATAATACTAAACTCGGTTATATTGGAGTGGTTTTATTTAGATCTAATTGAGTGGTTACCATCATGAAACATGCACTCTTTTGAGATAATATTCCTGCGTAACGCAGAAGCTAGAATCACCTTTTCTAGTTCTACTTGTTATAGAAGAGTAATGTTCTGATTCTACAAGAACTAATAAACAAGATACAATTTAGCTAGGCTTACAAAAATGTTTTTAGTTATAGGATTGTAGTGTAGGCTATATTTTGAAATGCTATTTTATCATAAGGTAATTAAATTGATGGTGGATCATCTCCATATATTATTTATATGTATATAAACATATACATTATTGATTTTTAAATTAAGTTATACCTTTCTGATTAAAAGCTCATTTTTGAGCTGCATAAATTCATGATTGACGAGCATTATTTTTTCCAAGAATTTTTTTTGCAAATCTCGTTAATTGAATATAATTACATTTTTTAATCTTGAATTTCTTGATTTTAGTATCTTAAAACCTTCAAAACTATTATTTTGAGAATATTGTTGTTATGTCAAATAACATCAGAACAACACAATGGTTATCACACTTATAATTCTTCTCAACATTAGATTTTATAATTGCTTTAAAGAAACATCGAAGATGAAGCAGCTATTGAAATTATTAAAAACTAGTGTTTATTCTAAAGGTACAATATTCAAAATGTCTGTAATCAATCTGACCTGCTTTTAATATTTTGCATGATCGTACTTATAAAAAGACTATTTGTTTTGTAGAAATCATTAATTGACTTTTGAAAAAAACTATTAGATGCTTATTTTTTTTTTTTTAAAAACAAAATGAGACAGGCCAAAAAATAAGGTAGAAAAAAAAAACATTATTTTAGAAACGAATGTACAAAAACAACAAAATGTTTACAAACTTAAAATAGTAGATTAACAGCCAAGCATAAAATAGTTTTGTTTTCAAACTCTAGAATGTGACTGACAAAATATAAATAGAATACTGATAACATGATGGCATAAAAACACTTTGTGATATTGACATGCACAGAAAGCAATACAATTTATAAATTTGAGCAGGTTATACATTTGAATAAATTATAAGGTTCCTCTAACTTGTAAAGAGTTGAATAGTTTACAATTCTCAGAATAGATTCAATATCTTAGCAAACTTATTTTAAAACACAGCCAATTGGGACAATTTTATGAACTTGGCAGCAATGTTACAAAAAATTATCCATATAATGTTAAAATGAAATTTATTTTAATAACATTGGACTTAAATCAGTTTACATAAAAATACATAAATTCATTAGTCATGCTAATATCCTTTGCCAAAATTTTTGACATCAACATTCATTAGCATAGGACGGACATCTACGAGTATTGATAAACAAGGGGGAGGGGAACACTTTGGTTTAAGCTTCAGATTCATTTTTCTTCTGATCAGCTGCTGTTGGTTCATCATCTGAACTAACTACCTTCACTTCACCTTGCTGATCTTCAGTTGTTTCATTGGTTTCTTTTTTCTTGGCTTCCTTTGGCTTATCAGTTTTCTTTTTGTCGTCATGGGGTTTTTCATCTGTTTTCTTTTCATCAGGCTTAGATTTTTCTTCTGTTGATTTTTCATCCTCTGTTTCGTCTTTTTTCTTTTCGTCAGTTTTGACATTGTCATCAGCTTTCACTTTCTTATCTTTTTTCTTTTCATCAGGTTTTACTTTTTCATCATTTTTCTTCTCGTCACTTTTCTCTGATTCATCTTTTTTCTTTTCATCTGTTTTCACTTTTTCATCTGTTTTCACTTTTTCATCTTTTTTCTTTTCATCTGTTTTCACTTTTTCATCCTTTTTCTTTTCATCTGTTTTCACTTTTTCATCTTTTTTCTTTTCATCTGTTTTCACTTTTTCATCTTTTTTCTTTTCATCTGTTTTCACTTTTTCATCTTTTTTCTTCTCATTATCCTTTGATTTTTCAACAGTTTTCTTCTTGGTTTCACCTTTATCTTTCTTCTTCTGTGCTTCTTTTTCTTTTACATCTTTCTCATGTTTCTCTTTACTCTCCTTGTCTTTATTCTTCTTCTCTGTTGTCTTATTATCATCATCTTTTTCTTCACTATTCTCTTCCTCTTCTTTCTTTTCCTGTTCGCTGGTATCCTCCTCATTTTCATCTTTCCTTTTCTGGCTAGTTGCGCTCCTTGAATTCCTGGGAGTTTTCTTCTCCTGTTCAAGAAAATAAAGAAATTTTTATAAAATTTTAATGGCATAGAGATTGTGCAACAGGAAAGAGAAAACTGTGAAGGCATAAGCAGTGGCGTCGCTAGGTTGGGTGTCAGCCAGTTCAGTCAGCACCTCCTGCACAGCCTCTTGGTATAAGAACGAGCTGAATGAACATGAAGATGTTTAGGGAAAGCTGAATTCAGCCCAGTTATTTTCTGAATGTGAGTTGTCTACTAGTGATAAGGCTGGCTCATAAAATATTTAGAAATGTAATTATTTTCTCATAAGATGACTAATAAGTGCTTGTTTGTGTTACCTAAAATACAGTTAGGAGGGCAGAAATATTGTCCATACTTGCCCTACAATTTTAGTAGAAAGGAAGAAGCATTTTCTTTGACCCAAAGTATATAAAGACAAAACCTCAGATGGGAAGACAGAAATATTATCCTTGCCTCCACCCAGAAATGTTATCCTTAACTCCACTCAGGACAGAAATGTTATCCTTACCTCAATCCACTATTTAGGTGGGATAATAGAAATGTTTTCCTTACCTCCACCCAAAAATGTTATCCTTACCACCACCCAGAAATGTTATCCTTACCTCCATCCACTATTTAGGTGGGATAATAGAAATGTTTTCCTTACCTCCACCCAAAAATGTTATCCTTACCACCACCCAGAAATGTTATCCTTACCTCCATCCACTATTTAGGTGGGATAATAGAAATGTTTTCCTTACCTCCATCCAAAAATGTTATCCTTACCTCCACTCAGAAGACAGAAATGTTTTATTTACCTCCACTTAAAAGATAGAAATGTTATCCTTATCTCCACCCACCAATCAGGTGGGAAAGCAAAAATGTTATCCTTAACTCCACCCAGAAATGTTATCCTTACCTCCACCCAGAAGACAGAAATGTTATCCTTACCTCCACCCAGAAGGCAGAAATGTTATCCTTACCTCGACCCACCAATCAGGTGGGAAGGCAGAAATGTTATCCTTACCTCCACCCAGAAATGTTATCCTTACCTCCAACCAGAAGACAGAAATGTTATCCTTACCTCCACCCACCAATCAGGTGGGAAGGCAAAAATGTTATCCTTACCTCCACCCAGAAGACAGAAATGTTATCCTTACCTCCACCCACCAATCAGATGGGAAGGCAGAAATGTTATCCTTACCTCCACCCAGAAGGCAAAAATGTTATCCTTACCTCCACCCACCAATCAGATGGGAAGGCAAAAATGTTATCCTTACCTCCACCCAGAAGACAAAAATGTTATCCTTACCTCCACCCAAAAATGTTATCTTTACCTCCACCCAGAAGACAGAAATGTTATCCTTACCTCCACCCAGAAGACAGAAATGTTATCCTTACCTCCACCCACCAATCAGGTGGGAAAGCAGAAATGTTATCCTTACCTCCACCCAGAAGACAGAAATGTTATCCTTACCTCGACCCACCAATCAGGTGGGAAGGCAGAAATGTTATCCTTATCTCCACCCAGAAATGTTATCCTTACCTCCACCCAGAAGACAAAAATGTTATCCTTACCTCCACCCACCAATCAGGTGGGAAGGCAGAAATGTTATCCTTACCTCCATCCAGAAGACAGAAATGTTATCCTTACCTCGACCCACCAATCAGGTGGGAAGGCAGAAATGTTATCCTTACCTCCACCCAAAAGACAGAAATGTTATCCTTACCTCGACCCACCATTCAGGTGGGAAGGCAGAAATGTTATCCTTATCTCCACCCAGAAATGTTATCCTTACCTCCACCCAGAAGACAAAAATGTTATCCTTACCTCCACCCAGAAATGTTATCCTTACCTCCACCCAGAAGGCAAAAATGTTATCCTTACCTCCACCCAGAAGACAGAAATGTTATCCTTACCTCCACCCACCAATCAGGTGGGAAAGCAGAAATGTTATCCTTACCTCCACCCAGAAGACAGAAATGTTATCCTTACCTCGACCCACCAATCAGGTGGGAAGGCAGAAATGTTATCCTTATCTCCACCCAGAAATGTTATCCTTACCTCCACCCAGAAGACAAAAATGTTATCCTTACCTCCACCCAGAAATGTTATCCTTACCTCCACCCAGAAGGCAAAAATGTTATCCTTACCTCCACCCAGAAGACAGAAATGTTATCCTTACCTCCACCCACCAATCAGATGGGAAGGCAGAAATGTTATCCTTACCTCCACCCAGAAATGTTATCCTTACCTCCACCCAGAAGGCAAAAATGTTATCCTTACCTCCACCCAGAAGACAGAAATGTTATCCTTACCTCCACCCACCAATCAGATGGGAAGGCAAAAATGTTATCCTTACCTCCACCCAGAAGGCAAAAATGTTATCCTTACCTCCACCCAGAAGACAGAAATGTTATCCTTACCTCGACCCACCAATCAGGTGGGAAGGCAGAAATGTTATCCTTACCTCCACCCAGAAATGTTATCCTTACCTCCACCCAGAAGGCAAAAATGTTATCCTTACCTCCACCCAGAAGACAGAAATGTTATCCTTACCTCGACCCACCAATCAGGTGGGAAGGCAGAAATGTTATCCTTACCTCCACCCAGAAATGTTATCCTTACCTCCAACCAGAAGACAGAAATGTTATCCTTACCTCCACCCACCAATCAGGTGGGAAGGCAGAAATGTTGTCCATAAACTTCTGATTTTCTTCCCAGTCTGACTGCCACTTCTCATGGCTGTACTCTGGTTTTCTCATGTTGATTCTCCTGAGAATTTCCTGGTTTTCTCTAGTCACCCTCAACAACTCACGCTGCCGCCTCTCGCGGTTTAAGCTGAATAAATTAACATATATTATTTACATTCACATTATTTATACTCACTGTAATAACATACGTGCACACCTTAATTTATTAATAATATATCAACATAGAAAAATAGAATTATGGAAAATAATAAAATTAAACCCCTGCCTATAATTTATTTTTGCCTATCTGATAATCTTATATCAGCAACAGTGGTGAAGATGAATTGTTTACCTTATATTCCTAGTTATTCTTATTTTCAGTTTAGATATATTATTTACCTTTTATATTCATATTTATTCCTGTTGTCAGTTTAGATAAATTGTTTACTTTATATTCCTAGTTATTCTTATTTTCAGTTTGGATATATTGTTTACCTTTTATATTCATAGTTATTCCTAGTTATTCTGATTTTCAGTTTAGATATATTATTTACCTTTTATATTCATAGTTATTCCTATTGTCCGTTCAGATAAATTGTTTACCTTTTATATTCATAGTTATTCCTGTTGTCAATTCGACCTTTGGTCCTCATAATGTAAGACATTTTCTCCAAAAGAATTCTATTGTCCCTCTCTATGATGGCAAGTCTTTCTTCTTCAAGCTGATTAAAACATTAATGCAATAATTAGACAGATTGCTAAAAAAAACACTTGAAAAATGCAACAGATTTGATTACTTTTTAAAATTAGTTAAATCAGCATAATTTTTTGACAAAAATAAAATTTGTGCAATGCCAAGCTAAAAACATAGAGAAAATTTGACTCTACCTGAAGTTTTTTAAGCTTGAGATGTAGGTGAACATAGGTTTGTGGTGATCTTGTGTCAATGGTTGGCTTAGCGCTCTCAACCTGATGGTTAAAGAAATTCATCACATATTGGTCTACTAATCAGTGATTGATAGAGAACAATGAATTTGTCCATTACATTATCCATAGCCATGCATCCACTCATCCTTGGGTGCACTGTTATAGGTACTAAGGCAGCAAAAGGTACTGAATGAACAATTTTATTCTCACTAAGGAGTCACCTCTACTAGGTGGGGAGGGGTGGGTGTTGAAACCTTGTGACAATGTTAAATGGGAGAGGGAGGGGGTAAGGAGGACTAGAAAGGGTGATGGCACAGATTTGCATTTAAAAAAATTGATGTTAGTCTTTTTTTTTAATTAAAAAAATAATTGTAATGGGAATAGGAATTGATTAATATAATGGAAAATATTTAAAGAAAGAAATTGATGTTTTAGAAAACAAAAACTGCAATTGTGAGGGGGTGGAGGTTGTATGCAGGGGTGTGACATCATTTTAAATTTTAAGAGACAGAGAGGAGGGGGGAGACGACAGAGGGAAAGGAGTTAACACTCCTCAAAAAAGGGAGTGAAGTCCTATGTGCTTGACTAATAGCTAAAAGGGATCATGCTTTTATTAGATTTGTATGACATTATAAAAAAAGCAATGTTAGAAAACAAACTTTAGCCGTTATTTTGTGTTTTGGAAAACTGTTTTAATAAATTCTGCAATTTTGAGGGGGGTAGTAGGATGAGGTATGAGGTGTGACGTCTGAACTCTGTCATCATAGAATAGAATATTTTGATCAATTCCTATCAGTGGCGTAGCGAGGTCAGGTGTGACCCTGTGCGGCCCCTGATAGTGTCACCCCCCCCCCCCTGTAAGAAAAAAAATAATTCCATATACACTTGTAAGTATGGGTATGCGCATGTGTATATGTATTCAAATATTTTTGTTCTGCTGGATGTATTTAATTTTTTTACCACCCCCCCCCTCCCCACCCAATACATGGATTAACATATAGCTTATTACGATTCTCAACCAATCTGTTTTCCTCAGGCATATATATATTGCAACGTTGAGTTGATGTAACTCTCCCCATCCCCCTCGTCACCCCCATGGTGATTGCTTTAAACTGTGCTCAGATAATACTAACGATTTGTATCTATATTCAGTTATAAATTCAGCTGGATGTTGCATGTTTTCTTTATCATTAGCAGGTTTACGTTATGGTGTCACCCTCCCCCTCCACCAGTGTCGGGATTTGTCCACTTTGCTTTTTTTGAAGACTATTTAATTTACTGTAATTAATCATTTAATTAAGTGAATTTATTATTTTTCTGCATATATTTTGCTATTTTTTGCCTTGTTGTCACCCTTCCTAATTGGTGTCACACAGTGCGGTCCGCACCCCCCGCCCCATGGCTACACATCTAATTCCTATCACAATTTATTAAAACTATGGCAAAATAATGGCTAAAATTCATTTTCTAACATTGCTTTTTTATAATGCAAAAGTGTGGCATCCCCCCCCCCTTCTCCCTCATCACACACCATCACAAAATTACGGACCCCCCCCCCCCCCCTCCTCCCTACATGTGTGACGTCGTTTATGGACGACCCCTTAATAAAACTAGTCTAGACTCTAATCTTATTCTTCGGTAGGCCTGCCTTATTATATTTTTATCATAATTTTATGTATTCAATACTAAATACTATTATTATTAGTGGCCTATTAATATAGTTAATTAAGTTAATATAGGGGCCTATAGGCCTACTATGGATTATGATTATGATCATTATAATCAGAGTTTCTTCCAGGTAGCTCTTCGGGGGGGGGGGGGGGGTCCTGTCCCCCCCCCTCCCCCAAAATTCTACCACTCCCCCCCCCCAAACAAAATTTATATAATCTATATAGAAAATATATACTTTTAACAGTGTCCGCCCCCTGAAGAAAGTCTACACCCCCCCCCCCCCCCGAGAAAAAAAGTCTGGTAAACACTGATAATTACATATTAGGCCTAATGATTATAATTATATAATTAATTATAGTCTAAAGTCTAAGTAAAAATAAGTAGCCTACACTTGATTGTCTTATTCTCATGCTATTTATGTTGTAGATCTAATCTAGACAGGTAATCTTTTTTTCAGTCCTGTTGTATTCTCCAAATCCCAAGTTTCAGACTGAGATTTGTTGCATATTATATTTTTAAAATATTTTTAAATTTATTTTCTCCTTACCTTCTTTCTGTGCTCGTCGTAGTACGTGCTGTCCCATCTCCTCTGTAGGAGTTTGTTGTGTGTGGGCAGGATGGATTGGTACGACCGATGCATGGTGTTTCACTCAAGACAGTAATTAGTACACCTGCTAGGAAGTGTTAAACAGCCCCTTATCATACAGGTAAAGTAAGTTAGCGCCGGAACCCCCGCGGAGTTTGTTGTAGACAGGTTGCTGTCACGTGATCACACTGATTATACACCTTAACAACGTAAACGGAAGTGTTACCTGGTACTTCGTTTTTCGCATTATTGTTTTTTTTTTTAAAGATAATAATAAGATAGTACGGGAAAATGAGCTGCTAGAATGTGATTCTTTGAAAACTGTTTTAAGTATGTCGATTTACTGAGGTATGATGCAATCTAATTTCAGACGACTGGTTTCATTTATAAAAATATAAAAATAAATCATAAATACCGTTCAAATTGATAAACTGGATATTAAAAAAAAGGAGGGGTACAGGAGCGGGGGGGGGGGGGGGGGGGGGGCGGAGAGACGAAGGGGAGGGGGTATGAGGAAACACGGTATCAGACTGCCTTGGTCTACCAGTTTCCGACCCCCCCCCCCCCTCCATGAAATCTCAAGTGCGCCCCCCCCCCCCCCCCCCCTCGAAGAAACACTGTTTTGTCCTAATCAATACGATAGGGCTTATAAATGGAAATGTATTAAGGAACGATACACGACTAGTTGTAAAGAACTTGTAATGAACAAGCCGCGGGGCTTTACAATGAAAAAGATAGTCCGTGAAAGGGGGAAGTTGCTTAACGTAAAGGTTTACTGTGGTGGTACTATTGAAGGCCTTCTTGTTGGCAGAAATACCATTTGGTTAGATTATTTGAATATTTGACGCTACTTTAGAAAAACAACTTGGATCTATCACTTTTTTATTCAGTTTTTTTATTATCAATATAAAACAAATAACATCAACATGTGTGTGAATGCATTAGTTTGCAGTAAAATTCAAAAGTTTTACAGCAACAAAATTTACATAACATTTATATAAAGGTGCATAAGAGAGAGAACATTTGCAAAATACTGTGCTTATGATTATGTATGGTGAAGCGTGTGGTATGATAATTAGTAAAAAAATTTAAGGAAGCATTTTTTTAAGTCAATATTTTAAATTCAATTACAAAAATGTACACAACACAATTTATGTAATATTCTGTATGCACAACATAGGCCAACTACAACCACTGAGACAGGCAAGATTTTATCCAAACTTCTCTAAACAACCGACAATCTTTTCTAGCATAAAGAATTTCAACCATGTAGACTGCGTTATACCGTTTCTAGACATGTATAGTATACATGTCGCAAGTGTAAAAGCGGTATTAGACTGCGTGTTATAAATCCTGCGAGCAGAGGCCCGGGGACAAACTTTTCGATTTGCACCCCCCTCCTCAAGATTTTCATTTGCACCCCCCCCCCCAAACTTTTGATTTGCACCCCCCCCTCAATATTTCGATTTGTTTGCACCCCCCCCCCCTCAAACTTTCGATTTGCACCCCCCTCAACCTTTCGCTACTGCCTGCGAGTTAGCTTGGAAATGGTTAATTATTCTTTGGAGGTGATGAAAAGACAGAGAATAAACGGTCCAGGCTATCGCTTCCCCAACAAGGGAGGCTGCAGTTATAAACAAGGGCTTGTCTTTTGGTAATTTTTGCCAGACCAGATTGCCGTCATCTTGTAGAAACAAAGCTTGTTTCCTCCATTAAAGTCTTGTATGCGGAGGTGTTGGGAATGGCATATTTTAATTTTTTTCTCTCTTTTTCATTTATTTTTTCTTAATATAAGGGAGTAATTTATATTGATCATCTAATTACGTGGATCCAAGTAAATTATTTTATATCTATAAATATATACGTTTTTTTTTAAAGGAGTTTAAGAAGTTTTATGATTTTGAATTTAATTGTACATAAGCCTAAAAAGAATCAACAAATTCTAATATGATAAAAATAATTTTTTATTTCTCTAAATTTTAATAAAATTTTTAAAAATTTCTTCTTTTAAAAAAAATACAAACCGGCTGAGTGTTTCCACTTTCTAAATTAAATAATTATCTCCCTTACCATTACAAAAACAAAGCCGTAAAGTTATTTTCCCTCCCTTTATCGTTTTTAGACTGAGGGAATATGCACTTCATAAAGAAAAATTGAAATATTTTATTTAAAAAGATTTACCTCTTTAAAAAATTAATCTCTAGCACATGTTGCCTAAAATCGTTAGGCAAATCGTTACCCTGGCATGTGTCACAAGCGACAACGTGTATGGGACCTCGTGTCACAGCAGAGTTGGCCCACCATGCTATACAGTAAACAGTAGAAGCTAATCCACTGGCTCAGAAACTACGTGTGGTTTTCATACGTATTATTCGTAGAACCGTGTTGATGTGTTTTCAAAAAAACGCAGTATCTAGATTTTAACAATAACTAATTTTTGATACTATATGACTTTAAATAGTGTTCTTGTCGAATTTAATGTTGATGTTTAATATTCAATTTCATACTTGGGAAAAAAAGTATCTTATTATAAATAGGACGACGCGTTGTTTTGTTTTAAGGTTTTTAATATAAGTTTATTTTAGAACAACAAATAAATACGCTATTTTGTGAGAAGCTACAAGGTTGTGTTCAAAATGATGGGGTGTTTAAGGACTTGTTGGCTGGCAGTTGGTGTGTTAGTTGTGGTCATACACGCAGACGTTCTGGCGAAAAACATAGCAGGTCAGTGGCTACTTTTTTATTGTAGTATGATGTGAAGTACTACGGGGCAGAGGCATAGCTAGGGGAGGTAGGGTTGCCAGGTGTCCAGTTTTGAACTGGACAGTCCAGTATTTGAGCAGACTGTCCAGGATAAAATAAATATAAATACTGGACAAGTATATGAATAATACTCTGTTACCCCCTTCTTTCTGCTTTGCGGCATACCTGAGAAGGGAAGGATGGAAAGGTGTCCAGTATTTTCGGAAAAGGTATCTGGCAACCCTAAGGGGAGGACGGGTGGGGCGATCGCCCCGGGCGCTGACTCTTAAGGGGCGCCAAACGGGGCAGACAAAAACGTAAAAGCTCATTCAGAACTTCATTACCGAATAACACAGTCGGAAAAATAAACTGCTGCTTGGGTTTACAGACTAATTCAATATTTTCCTCTGGGGATGAGGGGGGGTGGGGGTGGGGGGGGGGGGGGGGGGTATTTCACCAATCCGAATAACTAGATATTAAAATCGGTGGGGGGTAGCACATTATTGCAGGGGCGTAGCGAGGGGGGGGGGGCGGGGGGGTGCGGACCGCACCGGGTGACACCATTTAGGGGGGTGACACCAAGGCAAAAAATAGCAAAATATATAGAGAAAAACTTGAGGGGGGGTGCAAATCGAAAGTTTGAGGGGGGGGGGGGTGCAAATCAAAAACTTGAAGGGGGGTTGCAAATCGAAAGTTTGAGGGGGGTGCAAATCAAAAACTTGAGGGGGGGGGATGCAAATCGAAAGTTTGAGGGGGGGGGGGTGCAAATCGAAAACTTGAAAGTTAGTCACCGGGAAGGGTCGCCTCTGGGGGGGTGACACCATTAAGTGCCGCACAGGGTGACACCCGACCTCGCTACGACCACTGCATTATTGATAGTTCGCCCCCCGGGCGCCGGAAAAAACATCGCTACGCATCTGGATAGGATGTGAGCGACATACGCAGAGATGAAAGGTGTTGAGATAAAATAGTAATAAAATCTAAACAAATTCAAATACAAGCGTCCTACAGCAGGCTACAGGACATTACCCCCCCCCCTGGAAATTACCCCCCGGACATTTCCCCCCGTATTTACCCCCCGGAGCAATTACCCCCTGTCAGTTCCCCCCTCCCCCCCCGGGGAATTACCCCCCCTCTCAAGTTAGAATCCTAACTCTAACTACAATTCTATACCTATATACTACTTTAATCCAAACCTTAAGAAAAAGACCAAAACCTAAACATCCACCTTAGCCTAAAACTTCACACAAAACCAAAACCAACGCTAGACATTGGTTTAAACTTAACCCTAACCCTAACCCTAACCCTAACCCTAACCCTAACCCTAACCCCTAACCCTAGCCCTAGCCCTAGCCCTAGCCCTATCCCTAGTCCTAAACCTAGCCCTAACTTTAACCTAACCCTAACCCTAGTCCTAAACCTAGCCCTAACCCTAGCCCTAGCACAAAACCTAGCTCTAACCCTAACCCTAGCCCTAACCCTAACCCTAACTCTAACCCTGTCCGGGGGGGGGGGTAATGTCCTACTGGGCGGGGGGTAATTGACAGGGGGTAATTGACAGGGGGGTAATTACTCCGGGGGTAATGTCGGGGGGGGGGGGAATGTCCGGGGGGTAATTGACAGGGGGGAAATGCCCTGTTCCCCCTACAGCAATGGCGTCACGCTTTGTATTCGGATTCTGCTCGCCTCCCTGCTCGTTACAAATAGTACGATACTCGAACCTCAAGGACTTCACATTTTAGTTAACTTCCCCCACACTACACATTCAAGCTTGTAAAAAAAAAGTTTTACAATAGCCATATATTTCTTTAAAAAATATACATGGAGTTATACCCCCTAACCTTTGTTACATAGCATCGAGTCATTAAAGTACATAATAATAATAATAGTATACGTTTGTTTATTTGTATACATATATGTTTCAAGTACATATTATCATTATAACAGAGGAAGGAGAGATTGTCAACATGGAAATCAAACCTGAAACACAAGGCGAAAATGTAGTACCGAATAGTGAGGCGCCACCAGCTGATGTCCCCAGCCCAGGGGGAGGCTAACCCCGACCCAGGGAGCGAGGCCCCCCGCAAGACAGACGAGCTGGACTGGGGCCACACCGACGGGGCTGACGGCTTTACGGAAGGGGCTCAAGAGGCACAAACCTCCCCAAGGGTCAGATCAGGAGCACAAACCGTTAACCGGTAATCGAGTCACCACCCCCCACCCCCTTGTTCTCCTCTCTCTCTCGTCTCTTTCTCTCTTTCATATACACACACGCACAAGCTATACTAGGCATATATATATATATATATATATATATATATATATATATATTATATATATATATATTATATATATATATATATATAATATATATATATATATTGTGTGTGTTTGTGTGTGCGTGTGTTTTATTCTAGTTTTTATTGAATTAAAACTTAGAGTTTAGGTTAAGAATAAGTTGGTGTTGGGGTGATGCGAAAGAAAAGGGTTAAGGTTAATATTCAAATATTTTAAGTTGTGATTTTTTGTATATGTCGGAGTAAATCTTTATTTTATAACATCCATTAATGTGTTTATATTCATCTCTCTATATATGTTTATCTACATCGATTCTCTTTCGATCAAAATTGAAAACGAATTTTGTTCTGTACTATATAAGTACTACTATTTCAATATAACCGATATCTGAACATGTTAACCCTATGTTCTCTGTATGGACAGGTCAGGCTGTGGGCGTGGTTGACCCGGAAGAAGTAATGCACGGAGATGGCGACGGAGGTCACGATCACAAAGACGTGCACAAGGCTCCTGCCCAAAGGTACCTGTCTAGCTTTAGGCCCCGATCAGAGGCGGAGACATCTTCAGATATACCCCCTTCCCCCCATAGAAGCTGTTATGACTATTACATCGCCTTACCTACTACTAAAGGGCCATGAATACAACTGTTGTACCTCTAGAACTAACTCATTATTTCTCTCCAAATACGCAACTTGAGAGTGGGGTTTTATAACAACGATATAATGGCTGTTCCTTGAGTGTCCATATAAACCAAGGGATATACAAACCTTATATTTTGATAATAATCTATGGTTTATAGTTACTTTACCCAGTATCAATATGCTAATCGGAGTACACACCTGATACACACAAGCGCTAAGCACACCTAATCCCCTTGTGTTACTCACTGTTTAGCTGTTCTTAAGCCCGCCCTGTGTTTATCAAGCTGTTGCTACACTCCTTGTTGTGAACCTAGCAATGTCGGTATTGTTAGACACACCAAGACACACAACAAATGTGTCATTTTTATCTATCGATCATTTACGTTTT